TGGAAAATGTGAAACTCACTATATGTTAAACATTTGCAATACAAGGTGGAAAATGTGAAACTCAATATGTGAAACATTTGCAATAGAAGGTGGAGAATGTGAAACTCACTATATGCATGATATGGGAAACATTTGCAATAGGTGGAGAATGTGAAACTCACTATATGTTAAACATTTGCAATACAAGGTGGAAAATGTGAAAGTCACTATGTGAAACATTTGCAACAGAAGGTGAAGGTGTGAAACTGAGGAAGAAGTCCAGGAATGTTGTAGGAGCTGTCCCACCTGTTTCTCCCTCGCTGCTCACTACTGAAGTGTGGCATGTACGCTGATCTAGTCAATTCCCTAACCATGAGCTAACATCAATAATTAACTGCAAACCTTCACTTTCTTAATGGTCCATCCCAAGAAGACGGACACGAATGTGTTCGTATTGTCATATTGGACATTCTGTTTGGATGTCTCCATGACGAAACAAATATATCAAGCTTTGCTTAATATGCTGAAGTTTTTTAACAGCTCAAGATGCATTTGTGTTATTATTGATCTGCAAGTACTCACTGATACTTTTCATGTGGGTGGATGGAAGGGTGGGTTTGGGTGGGTGGGTGGGTGGCCAGTACTTACAACTAGCTGTTCAAGTCTGAGTTGCTGCATGGTGATCACTGAGATGAAGATCCATACAACTCCATACTACTGAGCCCCAAGGGCATCAAAATCAAACCTCTGGGTAAAATACCCAAATAACCAAAGGCTTATCTATAGCTCTGAGGATGCTGTTATAATGATGGAATATTGACAAAGGATTATATTCTTCAGATTTGTATGCATCATTGAATATAGAATGCACAGTAATGTTAAAACTTTAAAACCTCTGGCGGCTCCAAATGCAATTTCTGGACATCAAACATATCAAATACTTCTTATGTGCTGCTATTTTCTGAAAACAATCTGTTATATACACAATAAAATATGGACTATCATATAAATTTTCGGTCTAAGTAGGGAGTGCTTACAAAGATTACTTGCAGGATTGGTAAAAAGTTGTTGAGGGCGCCTTATTGGAGTATGGCACTAAATACGGAGAATACTGTATAATATTATTCCTTATTTTTCTTTGATTGTAGTTGGACAGATGAAGCATAAAAAAGTACACAAAATTGTTGTCAGAGTCCATATGTAAGGAAATGGTTCAAATACCATACTGGTTCTATGTTGTAAGTGGACCCCCATTCTGCTGGTACACAACCACACTGATAGACGAAATGGCATTATGATGTTCTTCTCTATATTTAGGACATTTGACATTTTGCATGACAGTAAATTTTGTACTGCCAGTTATTGTTCACCCAGTTCTCGAATTAACACAACAACAAATCTGTCCCTACCGTGGTACAGTATGGTGCTTTTCACATCGCCACAACAAAGATGAAACAAGTCATCCAAATCACGCATATCGACATATATAGTTTGGAAGGTAATTTAAAGTACCGACGTTTACTGCAATGTTTACTGTTAGCGTTGGGCGTCTCAAAGTGCGTGATTCCCGTGCACCCTTTCAAGTGGAGTTGATTGGTTCAACTGTGTCATATGGCCCTGTGACGCAGGGGTAGCATTATGCAGATGGCTGTTTCAATGAATGCTCATTCCACCCGTGACGAACAGGTCTGGTTGTTGATGAAATAGTGATAGCTAATAGACAGATTTTTTATTCATGCACCGATTGTCTTTAAACAATGTTAAATGTAATATCCAGTTATGCATGACTGTTTAATCATCTCATACCAACTATGAATGGAGTAGGTCCGATAGTTTTTCAGATATTGTAGTAAACATCGGTACCTTAAATTACCTTCCAGACTATACATGTGTTTCATAGATCATCTTCCATTTGTCAGACTGCTAAAAACAACTTTCATGGTTGAGGGCACATCAGGTGTGTGATATATTCCCTTAAATCCGAATAGACTAGTCCTATAACACAGCAATGACTTTAGAAGACACAAATTTGACTGTTTAAGCAAGAATGATTCGAAATGGTGTAGGTGACAGATCCGCTTCTAGCATGTATGGAATTAAGCTATGAGACTAAAACATATCTACTCAGTGAAAATATCAGTGACAACAAACTGTGAAACATTAAAATATGAAGTACATACACTTCAAAGGGATACAGTTAACTTTAAATTGGCCTACTTACTAGCGAAAACAAACTGGTTATGTTAATGAAGCATCTTAAACTCACTTGTAAATAAAAGTACCATCTCACAAACTTAAGTGAAAAAATATTTACAGTTTAACCAAGCCATTTAAAACTTCAAAGAGATTGCCAGTGTCTGGGTCACATGACCATTAAAAAAAGGGTGTTAAAAAATTTGGCTGTTAAAAAATATGCTGGTGTCTGACAACTGGGAGGACCCCATTTCATAGTGCACATGATGCTATTGTTGGAATGTTTACATAGCTTTCTTCTCATTTTTCTTAACAACATGATTGAACCTACTTTAATAATACTATTAATGCTTAAAAAATCAGTTGAACATGTTGACTCTTTCAAGGTTAAAGTGAGTGAGTTGTGTTTAACGCCGTTTTTAACAGTATTCCAGTTATATCACGCTGTGTCAGCTTAATGTGGGAGTGATGCAGGTCTCAGACTTTTACCACTTCGGTGAAACCCACGAGCACGGGTATGGTGCTGACAAACCTAGATAATAATCGGGGCGAACCGGGATTTGAACCCACAATCATAGGTTTCTGGCATGCCCAAGTGACGCAACTCTGCACAGCGAATCGCGGCGCCTTAGACGACTGGGTCACCCGTGACCCCTCAAGGTTAAAGAATACAAACTTGAAGATATGGAAATATCATGTTTATAATATAGTGCATTCAAGTAGAATATATTTTGGTATCTGGAGTCTATCAATTTGTCGGTCACAGACAAATATTATATGTCAAAGATCAGAACACTGTTTTAGTAATCATGTGTATACACCTGTTTCTAGACGTCTTATGTTTCAACTTCTAAACTTGCTATGTCATCTTCAAGATGCTGAAGCTGCAAGACATTTCTATTGCTTAGAAATGTGATAACCAACAGGTATTATGAACATTGATGATGACATAAGATTTATAACATCATTAAATATGTAATTTAACAAGTATAACTCGCAGGGTATTATCTTGTGATATATTTCAGTAGACATATTTGTGTACCATACTATCATGTATATTGACCACATAAACACAGTCGGTGACTTCAGCTACTAGTCTGTAGCCCGATTCTCGTACAGTTTCTTTCAGTCCAGCAAGCTTTGTTTATCAAAGTTACAACTACCGTATTCGACGTAATAAGCGCCCTGCTCTAATAAGCGCCCACGGCGATATTTGCCAATATCTTGGCTAGTAAACAATCTCAATTAGCACCCCTTCCAAGTGGTTTACGTACATAAGACTTATTTATTTGTGTATAATACGCACTCGTATGTTATATGCACCCTTAATTATTGGCAATTAAATCCTGGAAAAATATTTCTGTCGTATATAAACATTTCAGGCTGTCAGCATAAACCACGAAATTTACGATCTTTCAACTCAAAATACTATTCTAATAAGAGCCCCCTATTTCTAATTTTGAGAGCGCCCTGGGCGCTTATTACCTCGAATACGGTATATTCTACTGAAAATAATGTCAAATGACTGGTCAAGGCTTGTAGATCCAAACGGTTATGGCAGACTGCAAACATGACAAAAATGATGCAGAAATAGCCAGTCAATGAGAGGATGGAGTGCAGGCATTATAAATGCTGATCTTAGCAAGTTGCAATAGTATTAGGCCTAAATACATACCATGGAAAACTAGAACAGATTTATGTGTTATTAAAAACATTTTATAAGGAAAACCTCACATACGGCATAATTGAAGTTTTGGCACACCATACAAGATGTGTATAGTATGACTCCATATTATCACTGGCTCTATATTGTCGTGGTATCGGTAAATCTTGTAATCTACATCCCCAGTTGACTGTTTACTTATGCAAAACTTAGCGCAATATTTCACCGCATGACGGAATGCAGGATTCGTAGCGGTGTGTCACGGCTACTCGTACGTATACACGCTAACTTTTTTATGATAGTTTCTGGAATGTTTTTGAAGTGGAATTACCCCTACCTCTCGGTCGTATGAATACTGATCATGCATAATCCAAAACAGGAATTGATGTAAACCACATAATCAAAACGTATCACACAGAAAGTTGTCATACTGCAATAATATAGAGTTGCCCATGCTTGAGTTGCCAATGACAGGTACTTTGTTTACCAAACTCGGTAAAGAAAATCAGCATTGATCAATCCTACTTGATGTGTCATAAAAGTTGAATAAAGAACAAAAAACATTTTTTCATATGACACAGTTAATGTGTTTGTAAGCATTCACCATTACAATCCATTATAAATTATCTACCACGATAATATAGCATACCATGCTACAACAGGACCAAGGCTTCTATCATAAACTTGCTTCTTTATTTTTGTTTGCAGGTTCATCATGTTTATTTACAAAAGTGCAATACTCACCTTGTGCCTTAAATGTGTTAAATAATATTTGCCAGAAAGTTTCAAAAGAAAACTACTCAGTAGGCTTATGCATTAACTTAAGTTATTAATCACTTGTGATACTAATAGTGTAAATAATGATTGAGATTTATATCAATGTTGGTATTACATAAACTTTTAAATTAAGTAAGTACTGCTTCGACCGTGTTGTCAGTGTTGAAAATTAACCCATCGTAAATACTTCTCGGTGATGGAGGCACGTAGCGTAGACAAGACCGACTGACGATGTGAAAGTAACCGTGACAACAGGTTTCTCAAAATGGGAGTAGGCTTGATTATCACGATTTACTGTTAGATGAAGCTTGTGTTCCTAGACTTCATCATTCCGACGTTTTACATCAAAGAACATGGAATGAAAATAAAATATTTTGGGGGTACTCACCATACACTTTGTATCCAGAAACAAGACCATCAGATGTCCGTTGAAAGGGAATTTATATTAGTAAATGCCAGTGTGTATACTCACAAACGCCTCTGGCAAAACCGGGTCTAAGGGACATAACTCTATCGAAGATTTACATAATACCACGAAAAATATGAATAGACCCGGTAATTACAATAATTTGGTCCATACATCACTGTACGGTGTACATATATGTACTGCTTTTTGTACTATGATGTTCTTTCTTTACATGAAATTACTACAAATGATATGCATACTGTTAAAAAAGTGCAGCACCTTCAACGATATTTATTTGATCAAAGACGTATATATACGTCTTTGATTTGATATTATGTATTTTTAACGTTCTTCTTCGTGTGTTTTTGGCTGCTTAGAATTTAACGAGGGCAAAAATATAAATGTATTACCACTTACGCCTGTTACAAAACATATTTGTTGGCAGAGTACAAATACAGACCCGCAGCATATCTATACCGTATATATACACGTAAATCATATCAAATATTCCATTAAAGTAACTGGAATAAGATATAGGCCAAGAAGATTTAAAATATTTCCGCTAGTATTTTATAAATCATAACTATGAATACAAGGAACTATTGTTATGCGTAAATATATATTGCTCATTGTTACATCTAAGCCAGATAATTAGGGAAAACGTTTGAAGTGTCCACTGGAGAGAGATTTCGCTGATATCAACTATTTTTCAGATGATGTAATGTTATAAACTGAAAGAATGTAACGTCATATCACTACAGATGACCAATCAAAATTCAGAATCACTAAAATGCACATGCACAATAATCGGTAATATTATTGGGAATAAGTTTTTCTTTGTTTTCACAAGGATGCTTCATCCCGAGCACCGCCCCAGATTTCCCCTTGCGGTCAACTTGGTATCTCTGCCACAGGCCTCGCCACATCTTACAGTCACTTCAACAAGTTTTATGTAGATGGGGGGGGGGGGGGGGGGGGGGGGGGGGGGTGTATGTTTGGTATTTCCCAGATATTGTCACAATTTTCATGTCGATAATGTGTACCTTGTTTCTCAGTACCGATTGTCATATTTCTCCCACTTTTGAATGCGATCATTCGTTCATCTGCGTTGCCCTGCTACATCTATAGGGAACAACTCACAAGACACTTCCCTCTCACAAATAACGTCGTCCAATTTACGTCATCAAGTTCCGGCGTATGTTCGAATGTCCAGAAATGACGTCATGTAGAACAATGTTAATTTTTATCGTGAAATAAACCGCGCTTCATTCTTCGTTTTTCTTTCCGATTTATAGCGTAGCTTTATCTTATATATGGTTATCATCTATTTCATTTTTGAAACCTCTCCTGAGACATTGTATGTATGTACTTAATTGTCGTCATAAACTATTAGAGGGATAGTTGGCACAGACAATAGAGGGTTATGAATGACTTCAATCAACTTGACGGGGAGCTCTAGCCCGCCTTTAAAGAACCAACTAAATAAGAGACGGTGTATGGTATTGTATATGTTGACTGACGAGAAGGATAACACTCTGACAAATGAATGGATTTAATACAAAATATTTTTGCAAGTCAGAGCTGTATGAACAGAGACCATATAATAGAGGGACGGCCCTCTAGCCTATGCGCGAAACCATCAGTGCTACGGCTTGTACTGCGCAGCCTGTCAAAAAGCGAGCAGAAACGCGTTCACTGCAGTCATCGTTGTCGCCTTTTTTTCCATGCAAAATATATATTTTACAATACAAAATTACACTCATGTATTTCTTAACATTGTTAACATTACAACTGAGATTTGTTGGTGCCCTAAAGCATGTCGTTGTCACTGTATTTGATGACTGTGATCATGGACCCTAATATCGTATTAAGTGTCCATGCTGTGATCTAGCTTTGTCTTTGTCCGAGAGAACAATTATTATATGATCTCTGGTATGAAGTACTGTATTAATGAAGCACCAGCTGAAAATGGGCATCAGATCATGAAGCGGTCTCTAAAATCACCACAAATTCACTTATGGAGTCGATGGAGTCGGTGTAGTTGTTGTTGCTTTAAGTGTTTCAGAGGTCACCTTCTGCAGTAGCAATTTCGGCTGACCTGTCCCTCTTTGGGACTCCTTTGTGTGGGTAGGGTACACATGTCTATTGTGAGTTTTGTAGTCACAGAATTTCTGATTTTGTTTTGATGTGATTTCTGTTTTCGCATATTGATATAATTTCATTTATATTTTGGCTGCTGTATATACGTTCGAGTAGCTGTCCATCTCTCAGAAACAGAGTTAGTTTGGCCTTCGCTATTGCATCTCTTGGCTTTAGGAGGGAGTCGGTGTAGAAACAGTGTGGTACTTAGCAGCCATTATGGGGTATTCTCACTTTGCCGGCAGGTATTGTAGTCAAGAACAATAGGGATTAAGTGAGTGAGTGAGTATGGTTTTACGCCGCTTTTAGCAATATTCCAGCAATATCACGGCGGGGGACACCAGAAATGGGCTTCACACATTGTACCCATGTCGGGAATCGAACCCGGGTCTTCGGCGTGACGAGCGAACGCTTTAACCACTAGGCTACCCGACCGCCCCAATAGGGATTAAGACCAGAAGTAGTTTCAGACTATAGTGTACCTGTTGCAGGGGTACCCTCCAAGTGTGGCCACCGACCTGCCTACGCCTCACTCAACACAGTGGCCACACTGGGAATTGGATGACGTCACAGTGTCACACGGGGACAACTGATCGTAATTAATTAAGTAATTGAGTAAGGAGGGATTAGCAACTAATTCTGGACTGATAAAGAAAAATTCTCTGCACATGTGAGCAGTAAATTAAGGAAATTAAGCAGGAAATTAGTCTGTAATAAATAGCACCATGCATGTCCATTGGTCACATATCACTATGGACCCGTGAAGATCCGGGGTAGAATAGATCTTCAGCAACCCATGCTTGCCGTAAAAGGCGACTATGCTTGTCGTAAAAGGCGACTAACGGGATCGGGTGGTCAGGCTCGCTGACTTGGTTGATGCATGTCATCGATCCCAATTGCCTGGATCGATGCTCATGATATTAATAACTGAGCAGACCGCCGTCATATAGCTGGAATATTGCTGAGTGCGGCGTTAAACAACAAACAAACCAAACCAAATCAAACATTTCACTATGTGGATGCTATAGATGACATTGTAGCCGGTAAACATCACGGGTTAGACATCTTGCTTGATGGATTTAGATACGATACAACATTTGTTTGTTTTGTTTGTTCTACAAGCAAACAAACAGGCACTGATGCCAGATTTTTGAAGTGAGGACTGGAGCATGTGATATTTGAAAGAGACTTAAGATCCTATTTGTCAGCATGCGGGGTAGAATAGGTCTTCAGCAACCCTTGCTTGTCTTGAAAGGTAACTCTACCTGTCGTAAAAGCCGACTAACGGGATCGGGTGGTCAGGCTCGCTAACTTGTTTGATGCATGTCATCGATCCCAATTGCGTGGCTCGATGCTCATGGTATTAATCACTGGATTGTCTGGTCCAGACTCGATTATTTACAGACCGCCGCCATAAAGCTGGAATATTGCTGAGTGCGGCATTAAACAACAAACAAACAAACAACAACTTACCACACGTTTTGACATGCATAGGAATATCACTTATATCAGTTCCTGAGTGCGTGAGTTAAAATTTAACGTCGCATCGGCAGTATTTCAACCAAATAACGACGATATATCAGTTCCTAGTAAGATCTATAGTGAAATTTAAATGTTCGAATATCACTATGGTTGATTCGAGGAACATTATAGCTGATTCTCAGAATGGATTAAACAGAGGAACTGTTTTGATCACATCTATAGCTTATACACAATAATTATAGGGTTGATTGGACGGTAACCAACAGAGATCTACCTTTTTCTTGGATATAAAGAAAGGTTTGATAATGTGGACAGAAATTATTTTGTTAAAAGTTGAAAATAGCTGGGATAAAGGGGAAACTATTTACAACTTTACCATCTTTACACGACAACACAACCAACCCTATGCGCACGACCTGTTAACACTATTCTTCTGTGTGACCAGGGGAAGTGACAGGGCGGTATTCTGTCGTCATCTCCGTTCTCCCTGTATATCAACGACCTGCAGCTGGTACAGGAACTAGACGAACTAAATGAAGGTGTTACTGTTGACAAGGGATCACTTGCACAAAGCGAACATAAGCGCTACGACTATTGCAAGCCTATGTTAAGTATGGGAGTTACGATCGTCTTAGCGCTAAGATCGCTTTGTGCAAGTGGGCCGAGATCTGTGGCTCTGTAGTATTATATGTGGACGAGCTACAGAAAAGCTACAGAAAATGCTGGATGTTGTCATAAAGTGGTGTCATACAGAACGTATATATATATATATATATATATATATATATATATATCCAGACAATTGTGTACATAAGAAAGAAATTGATTAATGAGTCAGCTATCAAATTTCCATCAATATTTATAAATCCAGACAATTGTGTACATGAGAAAGAAATTGATTAATGAGTCAGCTATCAAATTTCCATCAATTTTTTAACGCTACATCACATCCGGGTTAAAATATGAGTACCACTCGAATATACCATAAAATGGCGGCTAAGCAAAATGGTATATATGAACACGAAAAATTAACAAAGACTCCTTCAGTGAATACAAACAGGTAAAAATAACTGTTAATACTGTAAAGGGGCAATTTAGAAAAGAGATTGGCTGCAGCCATGCCAGTCTGCGTTAGCAGTCGGCCGGAACCTGATATGACCAGTATCAAATTCCAGCAGCATGAATGTGAGGGGGAGGGGGGGGGGGGGGGGGGGGGGGGGGGACTATGACAAGATTTCGAGATAGGAGATAGTTCCGTGAAGAAATCTTGATGAAACATAAGTTGCTACCACTTAGTATACATGAATACACATTTGTAGTCAACCCTGCGAAATGCGTGCACACAGTAGAGGTTTTGGATTGGGTGGAGTCCACTATCGCCTACAGTGCACTTTGCCTACAGGAATTGTAGCATGGTGTGGTAGTTTGCCTACACTAATAATAGTACATCCCTAACTGACAAATGGATTAGTC